CGTTATAGTAATAATTAATGTCGTTTTTAACATTCGTTTAAAATCTTGCTTGGCGTTGACTTGAATTGACATAACCTTCAAACACGTGGTATCTACAGAACGTGTGAAGTGCAATTAACAAGTTTTGCTTGAAAAAGTTTGTGTTTGGTTTGGTTTTTGTTGCAAAACTAGGGCTAAGAAGATGGCGGTTGAAGAGCATATTCGGCACTGCATGCTTTACGAGTTCCAATTAGGAAGAAAAGCAAGTGAGGCTGCAAAAAACATCTGTAGTGCTCTTGGTCAAGATGCAGTTAGCGCCAGAAAATGTCAGTGTTGGTTTGAGAAATTTCGCGAGGGAAATTTTTCGTTAGATGACAAGAGTGGTCGAGGCCATGTGTCCAATTTTGATCAAGAAGCTCTTCAAGCTCTTTTGGTACAAAATCCTCAAATTACCCAACAAGAGCTTGCGACAACTTTAAATTGTTCACAAAAAACAATTTCCAATCAATTGCGTGCACTTGGCAAAGTCCAAAAGTTTGGAAAATGGGTTCCTCATGAGTTGACCGACAACAACCGTAATCAAAGAGTCACAATTTGCTGTTCGCTCCTCTCTCGTCAAAACCATTTGCCGTTTTTAGAGCAAATTGTTACCGGAGATGAAGAATGGGTGCTGCATGTTAATTTGAAAAGGCGGCCTCAATGGTTGGACAAAAATGAGGCTCTGCAGCCCACGCCAAAACCTGATTTGCATGCGAAAAAAGTGATGTTGTGTGTTTGGTGGAATTTTAAAGGAATTCTTCATTATGAACTTTTACCATCTAACCAAACCATTACAAGTGCAGTGTATAGTGCCCAATTGGAAAGGTTAGCCCAAGCTTTAAGAGAAAAAGAACCCGCGCTGATTAATCGGAAGGGCGTAATTCTTCACCACGATAACGCACGACCGCATACTGCAAGAATCACTGCTGAAAAACTGCGCCAGTTGGAATGGGAAGTTCTCCCTCAACCTGCATATTCTCCTGATATTGCCCCTTCCGATTACCATTTGTTTCGTTCTTTGCAAAACTTTCTTCTTGGAAAAAAATTTAATAATGAAGAATGCCTCAAGAATGCATTGACCGAATTTTTTGCATCAAAATCACAAGAATTTTACAACAGAGGGATTAAAATGCTTCCTGAGCGTTGGGCACAAGTAGTAGAAAACAACGGCAACTATACTGTTGATTAAATTTTGTTGTATTGTTTAAATAAATTCGATTTAAAAAAGTATTAGAAAACCACATTAATTATTACTAGACCTAATATGAAAAAGAACAGTCTGAGATAAAGAATAACATAACACAAGTAAAGAACATGTTGGAAGGAATACACAGCAGATTAGGGGAAGCTGAGGATCGAATCAGTGAATTACAAGATAGAGTTGAAAATATCACACAATCAGAAAAACAAAAAAGACAAAACAATTAAAAAAAGAAAAAGAAAAAAAGAGGGCAGTCCTAGCTGATAGAGCATCAGCCTGCAGACTGAAGGGTCCCAGGTTCAATTCTGGTCAAGGGCACATGCCCAGATTTCTGGCTTGATCCCCAGTGGGGGGGATACAGGAGGCAGCCAATCAATGATTCTCTTTCATCACTGATATTTCTCTCTCCCTCTCCCTTCTCTCTAAAATCTATAAAATTATAATTTAAAAAATAAAATAAAAACAGAAGGCAGCTTAAGGGAGCTGTGGGGCAATGTGAAACATTATTCAAATAGCAGGTGTGCCAGAAGAAGCAGAAAGAAAGAAAGGCATAGAGAACATGTTTGAAGAAATAATGGCAGAAAACTTCCTCTCCTGGTAAAGGAAAAAGACACAAAGAACCCCAAACAAGAAGAGCCCAAACAGGCCCGTACCCAGACACATCATAATTATTGTAAAATGCCAAAAATTAAAGACAAAGAGAGAATCTTAAAGGAAGCAAGAGAAAAACAAACTATTACCTACAAAAGAGTACTCAAGGTAATGGAAAGCAAGGATCTGAGGCCAAGATTATTATATCCAGCAAGGCTATCATTCAAATAGTTAAATAAAGAGCTTCCCAGATTAAAAAAAAAAGGCTAAAGGAGTACATTACCACCAAGCCAGCATTACAAGAAACGCTAAAGGGATTACTGTAATGAGAAGAAGAAACAGAGAAAGAAACCTAATACACAGAAATATAATGGCAATAAATAAATATCTATCAATAATAACCCTAAATGTAAATGGACTAAATGCTCCAATTGAAATATGTAGTGTAGAAGAAAGGATACAAAAATATGACCCAGCTATGTGCTGTATACAAGAGGCCCATATCAAAACAAAAGACACACAAAGGATGAGAATGATGGGATGAAAAAATTTTTCCATGCAAATGGGAAAGAAAAAAAAGCTGGAGTAGCAATTCTTATATCCAACAAAATAGACTAAAAATGAAGGCCATCATAGGAGACAAAAAAGGTAACTATGTAATACTAAAGGGATTGATCAAACAAGAGGATATAGCCTTGCTAAATATATATGTACCCAACATAGGAATATATCTATCTATCTATCTATCTATCTATCTATCTATCTATCTATCTATAAACTCAAGAGGACTTTAATAGAGAAATCAACAATAATACAGTCACAGTAGGGGACTTTAACACCCCACTGACTTCACTGGATAGATCTTCCAGACAAAAACTTAACAAGGAAACAGAGACTGTAAAGGACACACTGGATCAGATGGATTTAATTGACATTTATAGAACATTTCACCGAAACGCATCAGAATATACTTTCTTCTCAAGTGCACATGGATCATTCACAAAGATAGACCACATGATGGGACACAAAACAAGTCTCTACAAGTTCAAAAAGACTGAAATCATATCAAGCATCTTCTCAGATCACAGTGAAATGAAATTAGAAATCAATTACAGTAAAAAAATAAAAATAAAAACATTAAATGCCTGGAGGCAACATAGCATGTTATTAAACAATGCATGGGTTACCAATGAGATCAAGAAAGAAATAAAAAACTTCCTGGAAACAAGTGAAAATGAACACATAACAACTCCAAATCTCTGAGACACAGCAAAAGCAGACTAGAGAGCAAAGTTAATAGCACTATAAGCATACTTAAAAAAGACCAGAAAAATCAGCAATAAACTTTTTAACCCTAGAACTTAAAGAACTAGAAAGATAACAACAAGAAAAGCCCAGAGTAAGTATAAGGAAAGAAATAATAAAGATTAGAGCAGAAATAAGTAACATAGAGAAGGAAAAAAAAAAAAAAGAAAGAAAGAAAGAAAGAAAGAAAGAAAGAAAGAAAGAAAGAAAGATAGATCAATGAAACCAAGAGCTATTTTTTTGAAAGGATAAACAAAATTCATAAACCATTAGCCAAACTCATCAAAAGACAAAGAAAGAGGACTCAAATAAATGAAATCAGAAATGAAAATGGAGGAGAAACCACTGACACCACAGAAATAGAAAGGATTGTAAGAAAATACTATGAACAGTTATATGCCAACATTAGAATGATCTTACATCATGAACAAGTGAGATTTATTCTGGGGATACAAGGATGGTACAATATCTGCAAAAACAATAAATGTGATACAGCACATATACAAACAGAGACAAAAAAAAATCACATAAGTATATCAATTGATGCAGAAAAAGCATTAGACAAAATCCGAAACCATATGTTGATAACAATTTTCAGCAAAGTGAGAACAGAGGGATCATACCTCAACATAATAGAAGCCCTATATGACAAACCTACAGCTAACATCATACTCAATGGGCAAAAACTAAACGCATTTCCCTGATAACAGGAATAAGACAAGGATGCTCACTTTTACCACATCTGTTCGACATAGCGAACTAGCATAGTGATCAGACAAGAAGAAATAAAAGGCATCCAAATAGGAAAAGGAAAAGGAAAACTGTCCTTATTGGTACTATACATAGTAAACTCCAAAGACTCCATAAAAAAAACTACTAGATCTAATAAATGAATTTGGCAATGTAGCAGGACACAAAATTAACACCCAGAAATCTATGGCCTTTTTATATATGAATAATGAATTCACAGAAAGAGAAATGAAAAACCAATCCCATTTATCATTGCATCAAAAAGTTAAGATGCCTAGGAATAAACTTACCCAAGGAGGTAAAACACCTCTACTCAGAAAACTACGGGGCATTAAAAAAAGGATAGAGGTCCCTGGCTGGTTTGGCTTAGTGGAGAGAGCATCAGTCAGTGGACTGAAGGGTCACAGGTTCGATTCTGGTCAAGGGCATGTACCTTGGTCGTGGGCACATTCCCGGGGTGGGGTGTGCAAAAGGCAGCAGATCGATGTTTCTTTCAGCGATGTTTCTGACTCTCAATCCCTCTCACTTCTTCTCTGTAAGAAAATAAAATATATTTTAAAAAAAGAGAGAAATATAGGAAGATATAAGCAGATGGAAGAACACACCATGTATTCATGAATCAACATCCATGCTACCCAAAGCAATATTCAATGTAATACCTACTAAAATACCAATGGCATATTTCAAAGATCTAGAACAACTCTCAAAAAATTCATCTGGAATAAAAAAAGAAATGATGCCGAATAGCCACAACTATCCTGAGGGGGGAAAAAAAAAGTAAGAGAGATTACAATACCAGACATCAAGCTACATTACCACGCCACGATTCTCAACAATGTCTGGTACTGGCCCAAGAACAGACATATAGATGAATGGAACAGAATAGAAACACAGAAATTGACTCAAGTCATCTTACTCAATATTTTACAAAGAAAGCAAGAGCATACAATAGAGTCAAAATAGTCTCTTTAATAAGTGGTGTTTGGAAATTTGGTCAGATACATGCAAAAAAAAACAAACAAACAAAAAAACTATATTACCAATTCAAAACATCTAAAAACAAACAAAAACCCTCAAAATGGACTTGAAAGTAAGAGGGAAACTAAAAAAAAATCCTACACATTTCCATAGGCAGCAAAATTACAGACTTATGTCATAGAAATATCTTTACAGATACAGATCCTAGGTTAAGAGAGACAAAGGAGAAAATAAACTAATGGCACTACATCAAGATAAAAAGCTTCTGAACAGCAAAAGAGACAATAAAAAAAAAAAAAGCCCACAGTATGGGAGAACATATTTGCCAATATTATCTACGATAAAAGTTTCAATTCCAACATTTATAGAAAACTCTTATAACTTAACAAAAGAAAGACAAACAATCCAATAAAAAACTGGGCAAAGGACCTAAATAGACACTTAGAAAGTGGATTTTTAGGAAGCCAAGAGACACATGAAAACATGCTGAAAGTCAGTAATAATCCGAGAGATACAAATCAAAACAACATGGGGTACCACCTCACACCTGTCAGAATGGCTGTCATCAACAAAGGACAAGTGCTGGTGAGGATGCTGAGAAAAAGGAACGCTCCTGCACTGCTGGTGGGATTGCAGACTGGTGCAGCCACTGTGGAGAACAGTATGGCGTTTCCTCAATAAATTAAAATGGAACTGCCATTTGATCCACTAATAATTTTTTGAGGAATATATCCCAAGAAAATAGAAACACCAGTCAGAAAAGATATATGCATCCATATGTCCATACCAGCACAATTTACAATAGCTAAGATTTGGAAACAGCCTAAGGGCCCATCAGCAGATGCATGGATTAGAAAACTATGGTACATCTGTACAACAGAATACTACACTGCTATAAAAAAGAAGGAATGCTTGCCATTTGCAGCAGCATACATGGAAATGGAGAGCATTATGCTAAGTGAAAAAAGCCAGCCAGTGAAAGAAAAATACCACATGATATCACTCATTTATGGATAATAAAGAACATTATAACCCAATAAACAAAAAGATAGCTAGAGGCAGAGAAGCATTGAACAGAGTGTAAAATAAATGTGGGAAGGCTGGGGATGGTTAAGGAGGGAAGGTAAGAGATCAAGTGAAGGACTTGTATGCGTGCACATTAGCATAACCAATGGATGCAAGACAACAGGAGGGTAGGGTGAGGGCACGTGCTAGTGGGTGGTAGGGTAGGATAGGAGAAGTTCAATAGGGATAAAAAGGAGACATATGTACTACTATTTGTAATATTTTAAACAATAAAATAAAATTATAAAGAAAGAAAAGAATATTCATTAGATTGTTTTTAAAAAAAAGACACTATAAAGAAAGAGAATTACAGGCCAATATCCCCAATGAACATAGATGCTAAAATCATCAACAAAATATCAGCAAATCACATCAAGCAATATATTAAAAAGATTATATACCAAGATCACGTGGAATTTATTCAAGGGATTCAAGGCTGGTATAATATTTGCCAATCAATAAACGTGATACATCACATAAACAAATTGAAAGGCAAAAATCACATAATCATATTGATTGAAACAGAAAAAGCATTTGACAAAATCTAACTCCATTTATGATAAAAACCTGTGAGTAAAGTTAGAATAGAGGGAGCATTCTCAACATGATAATGGCCACATATGACAAACCTACTGCCATCATCATACACAATGAGTAAAAACTGAAACCATTTCCCCAAATAACAGGAACAAGACAGGGATGCCTACTTTCACCACTCCTGTTCAACATAATACTGAAAGAGCTAGTCATATCGATCGGGCAAGAAGAAGAAATAAAAGAAATCCAAATTGAAAAAGAATAGGTAAAACTATCATTTCACTATGACAAGATATTGTGCATAGATAACCCTAAAGACTCCATAAAAAAATGCTAGACTTGCTGAAACCGGTTTGGCTCAATGGATAGAGCGTCTGTTTGGGGACTGGAAGGTCCCAGGTTCGATTCTGGTCAAGGGCATGTACCTTGGTTGCGGGCATATGCCCAGTAGGGGGTGTGCAAAAGGCAGCTGATCAATGACTCTCTCTTATCGATGATTCTAACTGTCTATCTCTGTCCCTTCCTCACTGTACAAAATCAATAAAACATATTTTTAAAAAAATGCTAGACTTGATAATTGAATTCGGCAATGTAGCAGGATACAAAATTAACACCCAGATATCTATGGCATTTTTATACACCAATAATGAACTCGCAGAAAGAGAAATTAAAAGAAGAAACAATCCCACTTAACACTGCAAAAAAGAAACTAAGATACCTAGGAATAAACTTAACTAAGGAAGTAAAAGACCTGTACTCGACATACTACAGGAAACTGAAAAAAAGATAGAGGAAGACATAAACAAATGGAAGAATATACAGTGTTCTTGGATTGGTAGAATCAAAATCATTAAAAATGTCCATACTACCCAAAGCAACCTATAGATTCAATGCAATCCCCTGTAACAGAATATTTCACAGACCATGAATAAACTCTAAAAATTCCCATGGAATAAAAAATGACCCCAAATAGCTGCAATAACCCGAGTAAGAAGAAGAAAGGTGGAAGGTTCACAATATGAGACACAAACCACTGATCTCAAAACGGCCTGGTCCTGGCACATGAACAGTCATTTAGGTCCATACAACAGAACAGAGAACCCAGAAATCAACCCCAGCCACTATGCTCAATATTTGACAAAGGAGGCAAGAGCACACAAAGGAGGCATCACAGTCTCTACAAAAAACAGTGTTTGGGAAATTGGGCAGATACATGCCAACAAATGAAACAACCATACACAAAATGACCTCTAAATGGATAAAGGACTTAAACATAAGACGGGTAACCTAAAAATCTTAGGTTCATAGACAGAAAAATATCAAACATGTGTCGTAGCAATATCTTTACTGATACAGCTTCTAGGCCAATGGAATCTAAGGAGATGATAAACAAATGGCCCTACATCAAATAAAAAGCCTCTGCACAGCAAAAGAAACCATGCACAAAACAATAAGAAAGCTCACATTATGAGAGAATATATTTGCCAATGTTATCTCCAATAAGGGTTTCATCTCCAACATTTACCGGGAACTCCTATAACTTAACAAAAGGAAAATGAACAATCTGATAAAAAAAAAGTGGGTAAAGGACATACATATACACTTTTTGAAAAAGGACATTCAGGAAGCCAAGAGACACATGAAAAGATGCTCAAAGTCACTAATCATCTGCGAGATGCAAATCAAAATGATATCATGTACCAGCTCACACCTGTCAGAATGGCTGTCATCAACAAATCAAGAAATCTCAAGTGCTGAAGAGCTAGTGGACAAAAAGGAACCCTCGTGCACTGCAGGTGGGAATGCGGACTGGTGCAGCCACTGTACAGAACTGTATGGAGTTTCCTCAGAAATTAAAAATGGAACTGCTATTTGGTCCAGTAATACCACTTCTAGGAATATATCCCAAGAAAACAGAAACACCAATCAGAAAATATATATGTACCCCTATGTTTACAGCAGCACAATTTACCAAAGCTAAGATTTGGAAAGAGTCTAAGTGCCCATCAGCAGATTAGTAGATTAAAAAACTCTGATACATCTACACAATGGAATACTATGCTTCGGTAAAAAAAACAACCACCAAAAAACCAAAAAAAAAACCAAAAAAAAACCCCACGGAGTTCTTAGCATTTGCAACAACATGGATGCAACTGGAGAGCATTATGCTAAGTGAAATAAGCCAGTCAGTGAAAGAAAAATACCACATACTTTACTTATGGATAATAAAGAACATTATAACCTGATAAACAAAAATATAGATACAGAGGCAGAGAAGCATTGAACAGAGTGTAAAATTCCAGTGGGAAGGCTGGGGAGGGTTAAGGACAGGTAGTAAACAGCAACTGAAGGGCTTGTATGCATGCACATTAGCATGACCAATGGATGCAAGACACTGGAGCGAGGGATGAAGGCATGTGTGGGTGGGAGGTAGGAGAGGCTATGGGAAGGTAAATGGAGATGAAAAGGAGACATGTGTGCTACTATTTGCAATACTTTAAACAATAAAATGGAATTTGAAAGAAAATAAAGAATATCCATTAGATTGTAAAAAAAAAAAAAAATAAAAAAGATACACAAAGAAAGAGATTTACAGGCCAATATCCCTAATGAAAATATATGCTAAAATCCTGAACAAAATATTAGCAAATCGCATCCAGCAATATATTAAATTGGTTATATAGCATGATCACGTGGGATTTATTCCAGGTATTTAAGGCTGGTAAAATATTTGTCAATCAATAAATGGGATACATCACATAAACAAACTGAAAGGCAAAAATCACATGATCATATTGATAGAATCAGAAAAAGCATTCGACAAAATCCAACACCATTTTTGATAAAAAACTGTGGGTCAAGTGGGAATAGAGGGAGCATATCCCAGCATGATAAAGGTCATATATGACAAAACCTACAGCGAACATCATACACAATGAGTAAAAACTAAAACCATTTCTCAAAGAACAGAAACAAGACAGGGATGCCCATTTTCACCACTCCTATTCAACATAATACTGGAAGAGCTAGCCATATCGTTTGGGCAAGAGGAAGAAATAAAAGGCATCCAAATGAGAAAACAATAAGAAAAACTGTCATTTTACTATGACATATCATACACAGATAACCCCAAAGTCTCTGATAGGAAAGAATACTGGACTTGATAAATGAATTCGGCAATGTGGCAGAATGCAAACTTAACACCCACAAATCTATGGCTTTTTTATACACCACTAAGGAACTCATAGAAAGAGAAACTAAAATAAATAAATAAATAAATAGATAAATAAATAAATAAGTAAATCCCACTCACCATAGGAAAAATACAATAGTTAGGATACCTACCCTGTTTCCCCGAAAATAAGACCGTGTCTTATATTAATTTTTTTCTCCCAAAGTTGCGCTAGGTCTTATTTTCAGAGGATGTCTTATCTTTACAAGCGCTAGGTCTTATTTTCGAAAGAGGTCTTATTTTCGGGGAAACATGGTAGGAATTAATGATACTGAGGAAGTAACAGACCTGTACATGGAAAACTACTAGAAGTTGGATAAAAGGTACAGGAAGACATAAACAAATGGAAGAACATACAGGTTCTAGGATTGGGAGAATCATCATCATTAAAATGTTCATACTACCGAAAGCAACCTATAGACTCATTCAATACCCAATAAGGTACCAAAGAAATATTTCACAAAACATGAATAAACTCTCCAAAAATTCCCATGGAATAAAAAAAGACCCCAAATAGTTGCAACAATCCCGAATAAGATGAAGAAAGGTGGAAGGTTCTCAATACCAGACACAAAGCTGCCTGATCCTGGCACACGAACAGACATTTAGGTCCACACAATAGAACAGAGAACCCAGAAATCAACCCCAACCACTATGCTTAATATTTGACAAAGGAGGCAAAAGCATACACAGGAGTCAAGACAGTCTTTAATAAATCGTGTTTGGGAAATTGGGCAGATACATGCAAAAAAAATGAAATTAGACCACGAATGTACATCATACACAAAAATAAACTCACAAAGGTCTTAAACATAATATGTGTAATTATAAAATCTTGGAAGAATCCAGAGACAGCAAATATCAGATAGTTTCCATTGACCTAGGAACCATGTTTTTATTCATATAGCTTCTAGGGCATTGGAAACTAAGGAGATGATAAACAAATGGCACTACATCAAATAAAAAGCCTCTGCACAGCAAAAGAAACCATCCACAGCCGAAACCGGTTTGGTTCAATGGATAGAGCATCGGCTTGGGGACTGACGGGTCCCGAGTTCGATTCTGGTCAAGGGCATGTACCTTGGTTGCGGACATATACCCAGTAGGAGGTGTGCAAGAGGCAGCTGATCAATGACTCTCTCTCATCGATGTTTCTAACTCTCTATCTCTCTCCCTTCCTCTCTGAAAAAATCAATAAAATATATATTTTAAAAAAAAGAAAAGAACCATCCACAAAACAATAAGAAGGCCCACTGCATGACAGATTATGTTTGCCAATGGCATCTCCCATAACGGTTTCATCTCCAACATTTACATGGGCCTCTTACAACTCGAGAAAAGGAAGACAAACAATCCAATAAAAAAGTGGGCAAAGTTTTATAACAGCAAAATCCACCACAGGTAAGATCTGGAAACAGTCTAAGTGCCCATCAATAGATGAGTGGATTAAAAAATTGTGATATAGCTGCACAATGGAATACTATGCTGTGGTAAAAAAGGAGTTCTTGACATTTGCTACAATGTGGGTGGAGATGGAGAGCATTATGCTAAGTGAAATAAGCCAGTACTGAAAGAAAAATACCACATGATATCACTCATTTATGGATAATAAAGAAAAGTATACCATGATAAACAAAATGATAGATACATAGAGAGAGAAGCATAGAACAGAGTGTAAAATTCCTGTGGGAAGGCTGGGGAGGGTTAAGGACGGGAGGAAGAGACCAACTGAAGGACTTGTATGCATGCACATTAGCATGGCCAATGGATGCAAGACAGTGAGTGCCTGGGATGAAGGCATGTGTGAGTGGGAGATAGGAGAGGCTATGGGAAGGTAAATGGGGATTTAAAAAAAGACTTATGTGATACTACTTGTAATACCTTAAACAATAAAATGAAATTGAAAGTAAAGAAAGAATATTCATTAGATTGTAAAAAAAAAAAAAAAAAAAAAAAGATACTACAAAGAAAGAGAATTACAGGCCAATATCCCTAATGAACGTAGATGTTAAGATTCTTAACAAAATATTACCAAATCACATCCAACAATATATTAAAATGAATATAAATAAATGATCACGTGGTACTTATTTCAGGGATTCAAGGCTGGTAAAATATTAGCAAATCAATGAATGGGATATATCACAAAAACAAAGGAAAAGGCAAAAATCAAATGATCATATGGAGAGACACAGAAAATGCATTCAACAAAATCCAACACCAATTTTGATAAAAACAAAACAAAACTGTGATTCATATCTCAACATGATATAGGCCGTATAAAACAAACCTACAGCCAACATCATACACAATGAGTAAAAACTAAAACCATTTCCCCAAAGAACAGGAATAAGAAAGGGATGCCACTTTCACCACTCCTATTCAACATAATACTGGAAGAGCTAGCCATATTGTTCAGGCAAGAAGAAGAAATAAAAGGAATCAAAATTGATGAAGAATAAGTAAAACAGCCATTTTACTATAACATGATATTGTACATAGATAACCACAAAGATTTCAAAACAAAAAGTAGTACATTTGATAAATGAATTGGACAATGTAGCAGGATACAAAATAAACACCCAGAAATCTATGTATTTTTTATAACAATAACTAACTGAGAGAAAGAGAAACTAAAAAAACAACAACAAGAAAACAATCTCAATTATCACTGCAATAAAAAAATTAAGATACGTAGGAATAATCTTCACTAAGGAAGTAAAAAAGTCCGGTACTCAAAAAAATACAGGAAATTGAAAAAAGGAAAGAGGAAGATGTAAGCAAATGGAAGAACATACAGTGTTCTTAGACTGGTAGAATCAGCATCATTAAAATGTCCATACTACCCAAAGCAACATATAGACTCCATGCAATCCCCTATAAGGTACCAAAGAAGTATTTCACAGACCATGAATAAACTCTCCAAAAATTCCCAGGAAATAAAAAAAGACCCCAAATAGCTGAAACAATCCCAAATAAGATGAAGAAAGGTGGAAGGTTCACAATATGAGAACAAACCACTGCTCTCAAAACTGCCTGGTGCTGGCACAGGAACAGACATCTAGGTCCACACAACAGAACAGAGAACCCAGAAATCAACCCAGCCACTAGGCTCAATATTTGACAAAGGAGGCAAGAGCATACAAAGAAGTCAAGACAATCTCTTCAATAAACTGTGTTTGGGAAATTGGGCAGATACATGCACAAAAATGACACTAGACCACCAAAGTACATCACACACAAAAATAAACTCACAATGGATAAAGGTCTTAATGATAATATGGGTAATCATAAAAATCTTAGAAGAATCCATAGACAGCAAAATATCACATATAGTTTCCATTGCCCTAGGAGCTATGTTTTTATTGATATATCTCCTAGTGCCCTACATCAAAATAAAAATCCTCTGCACAGCAAAAGAAATCATGCACAAAACAACAAGAAGGCCCACTGCATTAGAGATCATATTAGCCAAAGTTATCTCCAATAAGGGTTTCATCTCCAACATTTACATGGAACTCTTACAAGTTAACAAAAGGAAGACAAACAATCCAATCAAATAGTGGCCAAAGTTTCAAAACAGCAAAATTCACCATAGGTAAGATTTGAAAACAATCAAGTGTCCATCAGTAGATGAGTGGATTAAAAAACTGTGATCTATCTGCACAATGGAATACGAAGCTGCGGTAAAAAAAAAAAAAAAAAAAAAAAAAAAAAAAAAAGGAGTTCTCACCATTTGCAACAACATGGATGGAGTTGGAGAGCATTATGCTAAGTGAAATAAGCCATATCTGAAAGAAAAATAACACATGATATCACTCATTTACAAATAAAAAAGAACATTATATCATGATAAACAAAAAGATAGATACAGAGACAGATAAGCATCGAACAGAGTGTAAAATTCCTGTGGGAAGGCTGGGGAGGGTTAAGGACAGGAAGGAAGAGATCAACTGAAGGACATGTATGCATGCACATTAGCATGACCAATGGATGCAAGAAACTTTGGCGAGGGGTGAAGGCATGTGTGGGATGTAGGAGAGGCTATGAGAAGGTAAACAGGGATGAAAAGGAGACATATGTGCTACTATTTGTAATACTTTAAACAATAAAATGGAATTTGAAAGAAAATAAAGAATATTCATTAGATTGTTAAAAAAAAAAAAAAAAAGACACTCCAAAGAAAGAGAATTACAGGCCAATATTCCCAATAAACATAGATGCTAAAATCCTAAACAAACTATAAGTAAATTGCATCCAGCAATATATTAAAAACATTATCACATGAGATCACATGAGATTTAGTCCAGGGATTCAAGGCTGGTAAAATATTTGCCAATCGATAAATAGGATACATCACATAAACAAACTGAAAGGCAAAAATCACATGATCATATTGATAGAACCAGAAAAAGCAGTTGTCAAAATCCAACACCATTTTGATAAAAAACTATAAGTCAAGTGGGAATAGAGGGAGCATATCGCAACATGATAACGGCCATATATGACAAACCTACAGCCAACATCATACACAATGGGTAAAAACTGAAACCATTACCCAAAGTACAGCAACAAGACAGGGGTGCCCATCTTGATCACTCCTGTTAAATAGAATACTGTAAAAGCTAGCCATATCTCTCAGGCAAAAAGAAGAAATAAGAGGCATCGAAATAGGAAAAGAACAAGTAAAACTGTCATTTTACTATGACATGATATCATACATAGATAACCCCAAATCTCCAATAAAAAAAAAGAAAATACAAGACTTGATAAATACATTCAGCAATGTGACAGGATGCAAAAATTAAAACCCAGAAATCAAAGGCTTTTCTATGTCCAATAATGAAAGAGAAAGAGAAACTAAAAAAACAATCCCACTTACATTGCAGAAAAAAGAAAAAAACAAACAAACAAACAAAAAACCACAACTGAGATATCTAGGAATTAAGGAAACTGAAGAAGTAAGAGACCAATACTTAGAAAACTACAAGTGTTGAAAAAAAGGTACAGGGAGACATAAACAAAAGGAAAAATATACAGTGTTCTTGGATTGGTAGACTCATCATTATTAAAATGTCCATACTACCCAAAGTAACCTATAGATTCAATGCAACGGAATATGTCACAGACCATGAATAAACTCTCTAAAAATTGCCATGGAATAAAAAAAGACCCCAAGTAGAGGAAATAATCCCAAGTAAGATGAAGAAAGTTGGAAGCGTCTCACAATATGAGACACAAGCCAATGTTCTCAAAACTGCCTGGTGCTGGCACACGAACAGACATGTAGGTCCATACAACAGAACAGAGAACCCAGAAATCAACCCCAGCCACTATGCTCAATATTTGACAAAGGAGGCGAGAGCACACAAAGGACTCAAGATAGTCTCTTCAATAAACGGTGTTTGGGAAATTGGGCAGACACATGCAAAAAATGAAACAAGACCACCAACTTACACCATACACAAAAATAACCTCAAAATAGATAAAGGGCTGAAACAAAAGACAGATAACTATAAAAATCTTAAAAACTCCACAGACAGCAAAATATCAGACATTTCGTAGCTATATCTTTACTGATATATCTTCTAGGGCAATGGAAACTAAGATGATAAACAAATGGGACTACATAAAATAAAAATCCTCTGCACAGCAAAAGAAACTATTCACAAAACAATAAGAGAGCCCACTGCATTTGAGAACATATTTGCCAATGTTATTTCCAATAAGTATTTCATTTCCAACATTTACAAGAAATTCTTACAACTTAACAAAAGGAAGAGAAACAATCCAATCAAAGAGTGGGCAAAGTTTCATAACAGCAAAATCCACCATAAGTAAGATTTGGAAATAGTCTAAGTGCCCATCAGAGGATGAGTGGATTAAAAAATGGGATATATCTGCACAATGAA